CTCTGTCATAATATCGTTTTTGCTTTCTTTGTTTTTCTTCGAACTTTTCTTTCATTCTCTCAGGATCAACAACTTTTGGCTGAAGTTGATTTGGGGTAGTTGGTAAGTGCGAACGCAAACGTCGGCTCATCAATATTTGTGCTGGTGAAGCTACGTTACCAATGGGTGTGTTGCGATACTCCAACAAACTTAGGTACGGATCTTTTCCATCTTGTTTTGCTTTCGATAGCAAACGTTTCACAATTTGAACTGCTTTCTCAGCCAAACCGTTTGATTTCGGATAATATGGACTTGAAGTCTGGTGCTCGAAATTCCACTTTTGTGCGAACTGCTTGTACTCCCTGGCAGTGTACTGAGGACCATTGTCACTTCTTACGACTGATGGAATTCCATGTCTTGCAAATATGGACTTCATATGATTCACAACAGTTCTGCTGGTGGTGTTTTCCAACTTGACTACTTCAATATAACGCGAATAATAATCTGCCACAACCAGATAGTTGTTCTGTTCCCACTGAAACAAATCAGTTGCGACCATTTCCCAGGGTCTCGATGGTATTGTTCCTTGCACCATGGGTTCTTTGGGATTCGACATCTGGTATTCTTGGCAGGTTTGGCATTTGGATACAATAGCTTCAATTTGCTCATTCATTCTTGGCCAAAACATAATGTCCCTTGCTCGTCGTTTGGATTTCTCTATGCCCATGTGACTCTCGTGTATTCTTTCTAGCATCTTTCCTCTCATACTGAGGGGTATGATAATCTTGTCTTGCTTCAACAAGATTCCATCTACTTCTGAAAGCTCGTCACGATAATTCCAGTAGTCCTGGATTTCGCAAGGTGTTTGTTTTCTTGTCTCTGGCCATCCCCTTCGGATTGTTGAGAACAGGGTCTTCATGGTCTGGTCAATCGCTGTTTCTTTCTTGATCTGTTCCAGTCGTTCTTCGGATACTGGCATTCTGCTGGTTACCGTGTGCACGTAACATTCTAACTCTTCGTTCATCTTGCTACTGTCCACATCATCATCGGTAAGGTAAGCTCGAGAAAGTGTATCCGCAATGATCATTTCTTTCCCAGGTCTGTATCAAATCAAGACGTTTCCAGGTGCGAAGGTAAGCGATATGGAATATTATGTTAAACCTACTTTGGCCCGTACACCTGACCATTTGATTCTGCATGACGGTACAAACGACGTGAGACAAAGTACACCACAAGAGATAACAAATGCCATATCCATGCTTGGGCAACAGATCAAGAAGGAACTACCTACAACGAATCTCGTTATTTCCGAAGTAATTACAAGAAATAATGACCCAAGTCTGAATACGAAAATTACAGAACTTAATACTAAGCTATCCCAGGTATGTACCAATAATAAGTGGAAGATCATTACCCACAGAAATATTTCCTCTGAACATTTGAACCCATATGGGCTCCATCTTTCTAAACAAGGAACAGCTAAATTAGCCCAGAACTTTACAAACTATCTAAAAAATCCTAATTGACCATCTACCGATGCTCCACCCCCTCCACAACCTGTTACCAATACAATAAAGCCAGTAAAGCAACCAAACCCTACTCTTCCTAAACTTAAAGGTTTCAAAGTAGCACAACTTAACATCGCTAGCTTGCCTAAACACTATGAAGAACTACTTATTTATATGCGCGATGAACCTTTCGATATATTGACCTTAAATGAAACTAGATTAGACAGTACTTTCCTAGACTGTGAAGTACAGATACCTGGTTATGATATTATCAGATCTGACCGAAACAGACATGGGGGAGGGGTAGCTATATATATAACGACTATCATTCCATATATCGTACGTGAAGATTTATTACAAGATACTCTCGAATTGCTTTGTATTGAACTTAGAAAACCCAAAAGTAAACCAGTGCTTATTTCAACTTGGTTTCGACCACCGAGTGCAAAAATTGAATTATTCCAAAAGTTCGAAAACTTCCTGAAGCTGATTGATAATGAAGACAAAGATATTATCATAACCGGGGATCTTAATTGTAATTTTATTGAGCACACTCAAAACCAAGCTACTTCTAAGTTAATTGAAATTATTGATATTTTCCAACTGCAGCAACACATACAAACCCCTACTAAAACTACTTATAATTCTTCGTCTCTGATTGATTTAATTATTACACATATCGACGATGATAAAACCTTAGAAGCCGGGGTTGTTGACCTTGGGATTAGTGACCATAGTCTTGTTTATATATGTCGGAAAATTAGCATTCCTAAAGAGCCACCAAAAATTGTATTTACACGACAGTTCAAAAATTACAACTCCCACCAATATAAAGAAGAGCTAAGCTACTATACTAATCTAGATCCCACATCGAATGATCCAAATGTGCTATGGAATGAATTTAAGAACAACTTTCTTACTATTGCTGAAAAACACGCGCCAGTTAGACAGTGTCGCGTTAAGAGTGAGCATAAACCATGGCTGACGAAAGAAATAAAGCGTTTAATGCACCATAGGGATTATCTTAAAAGACAGAGTGTTCGTTTAACATCGAGTAATTATAACGACGCCTACAAAAGATGCAAGAATAAATTAAATAAGCTTATTAAAAAGACTAAGGAAGAATACTTTAAAACGAAGTTATCTAATGCAAATAATAGCAAAGAGAGTTGGCAGGCTATTAATGAGCTTTTAAACAAAAAGCCCAAAACTACCCATGTAACACAGCTAAATGTAGATGACCAAGTTATAACTGGAGACACAAATATTGCGGACTGTTTTAATCAGTATTTTTCATCCATCGGTTGTAAACTGTCGAAAAATGTCCAAAATATTAATGTTGACCCTATGACATTTGTCACTCCTACGGAGAGTTCGTTTCATTTTTCATGTATTTCAGTCCAAGAGACTTTTGACGCCTTAAACCAACTTAACTCAAGGAAATCACCAGGACTGGACGGCATAAGTGTAAAACTATTAAAAGATACAAGCGATGTTATCGCGCAACCATTAGCCAACATCTTTAATCTATCTCTTCAGACTGCAATTTTTCCGGACGAGTGGAAAATCGCCAAGGTATCACCAGTCTTTAAAGAAGGGAATAAAACTGATTGCGGAAATTATAGACCAACCTCTGTAATTTCTGTGGTTGCTAAGCTGTTTGAAGGGCTAGTGTACAATCAATTGAGAACGTTTATTGCCGACAATAGCATTCTTGTAGAGCAACAGTCCGGTTTTCGTTCACAGCACTCTACTGAGACGGCACTCTTAGGTTCGACAAATGAGTGGTTGTATAACATGGACAGTGGCTTAATCAATGGAGTCCTGTTCTTGGACTTGAAAAAAGCTTTTGACACTGTCGACCATGAAATCTTATTAAAGAAACTTCACCTATACGGCATAAAAGGAACTACTTACGCATGGTTTGAATCTTACATCCAAAATAGGAAATCGATTTGTTTAATGAATGGGAAAAAATCACATGCTAGAGAAATTAGGTGTAGGGTACCACAAGGTTCTAACCTTGGCCCCATCCTATTCCTCTTGTATATTAACGATCTACCTAAGTGTCTAGAAACAACCAAGGCCAACTTGTTTGCTGATGACACAAATCTTTCGTGTGCCGGCTTAGATGCCAATGAAATCGAGACTAAACTTAAAAGAGATCTTGAGAATGTTCATAGTTGGCTTAGATGTAACAAGCTCACGCTAAACGATAGCAAAACGGAATTTATGATAATTGGCTGTAGACATCATCTTACTAAATTTGAAGACAACCCAGAGATTTCATTAGCCATACGAGATAATAATATTAAACGGGTCACCAATAAAAAATCTCTTGGTTTTATCATCGACGATCAATTAAAGTGGGGTATACACATTGACGCACAATGTAAAAAAATTTCAAAAAATATCGCATTACTAAGAAGAGCCAAGTCCTTTGTTCCTTTACACATTTTAATCAAAATGTATAATGCTCTAGTATCTCCTCACCTGACATATTGCTCAACAATATGGAATGATGGATCTAATACCATTCTTAACAAACTTTCTAAGTTACAAAGAAGAGCAGCTCGGGTTATCACAGGACAATCATACGATGTTCGTTCCACTCAAATACTAGAAAGTTTCAATTGGATGCCAATTGAAGACATTTTAAAGAAAAGAGAAATCATTATGACGTTTAAAGCTTTAACTAACAGACTACCTGATTATGTGCAGAATTTCTTCACGAGATGCGAAAATAGTAATTATTCTCTAAGAAGTAATAATGTTAAACTATCTTTGCCTAAACCAAGAACTAACTTTCTTAAAAGAAGTTTCTCTTATAGAGCAGCACAAGGGTGGAACGAATTATCGGATGAAGTAACTAATAACATTCAAGATTTATCTTTACCCAATTTCAAAAGGCGTTTACCCCTTAAGCTTGCACATGAATAATGTATAATGCATTTCCGAAATTAATGTGTAATAATTATGTGCTGTAATTAAATGTAAATATCCATAGTTAATGCGTGTTTAATACTATATAGCACGGCCCTTTGAAAAACAGACTGTATATATTATACTGAATAGGCTACCGTGTTAAAAGAAATTTTATTAAAGATTAAAGATTAAAGATTAATTCAAAGAACTTTCTACTGCAATGATTTAGAATTTCCACTTCAGTGAGATTTTACACTGAGTACGTGTCTTTCGAAACATGTTCGAAACAGCTTCGAAATTATCGTTTTCCCTTTTAGAATTACTCAAAATTTCCTTCAAATTTCCATTAAATAATTTTCTTTTATAATTATCAAAGGAAAACCGGTATACCGATATATAATTTTTTCGGTATACCGATACCGAAAATTTCTCATACCGAACATTCCTAGTTAAAGTTGGTCAATTGTTGGAGAAAATGCTGGAAATTTCCCGGAACATTTTTTATTGTTTGGCTCAATTGTTTGGAAAAGTTGGTCAAAACAACTCGACAACCCCCCCCTCCCCCCCCCCCGCGCCCCAAATGTTAATAGCGAGCTTAAACAAGCGAGGTTTTTGTCAACACGGACGCCAGAGTGCCGAGGGGAAACTGGATTAAAAACTGTGTTTGCATCAGTTTGTATTAATCTTTTTACACATATGACAAAACATAAGATTTTTAAATTTTTTGCTTCTTTACACGAGCGCTATGATACAAAATGCATGCAAAATGAGTTATACCAACGTTCGTGTTGACAAAAACGTCGCTTGCTTAAGCTCACTGATGACTTCGCGACGTCCCTGGAGAAACAAAATTGAAAGTAGACAATTTTCCTTTTATCTGCTGTATAGTTATGTTCGTTATGTTCTTATGAAAAAAAATTCGTGGGGGAAAGTTGGTGAATCAATTATAAAACTTTCTATCGATAAAATTAATGATTGTCATAATGAGATTTGTTTTTGAGCGTTTTTTGTGAAATAATTTTTGGGGGAAACATTGGGGAATCCGACTTGTTTTTATGCCATTTTTTTCAACATACCTGTTGATTGACAATACTGGCCGATACACTATTTATTTCTTGGGCCAAAGATTGATTTTCGGTCGAAAGCACGCTTGTTTCTGCTGCATCCATACTTCTAAGACATGATTATGTAAATTTTTCTTCTTTTAATAAAGACGTCGACGTGTTTCTATCATTCTGTGTTTCCACATGTTTCTGTGCTTCCACTTCATGTGAAAAAAATCCCGCTTTTTTAACAACTCCTTAGATTTTCTTTGATTATACACGGAAATTATCTCGAAATTTCCAACATTAGTTTAACGTAATTCTGGTGAACCCATCTCCTGCTCAAAATGGTCTGGATGTGACCTTTCTTTAACAGCTGATCTAGCTCAATTTTGAGAGTCAGCATTCAAGGACGTCTGGCAAACCCACCCCCCTGATTAAAATGTCTGTCAGTGGTCATTTATGACTCCTGGCACTACGCTGAACATTTTGCACTTACTTTCGTCGGGTTTCCTCGCCAGCTGATCTAGCTCAATTTTGGGGTCAGCATTCAAGAACGTCTGGCGAAGCCACCCCCCTGATGAAATTGTCTGTCAGTGGTCATTTATGGC